CCACTATGCACTTTTGTATCATCAAATCCATTATTTTTCTCATCGGAAACTATATTTATCATTCTTCAGACAACGAAGAGTATATTTATGTATATATATTATTTATATACATATTACGAATTTAAATTAGTTACCATCTCTCATCAAATACTGTATTTAACATTTCCATGAAAATGAATAATTATTTTTCAATCTATATTCAATCTACATATAATTTCGAATAGCTACTATGCGATTCTAAAGTATACGTTATATGCACATATATATGTTAAAGCAACAATTAGTTACAATATACGTTTTACACAGATTTGAAAGTAATACAAATTTTACAAACAGCTAACAAAATCTAGATTTTAATAGATCACAGAGTATTACGCGATGATGGAAATGCTAAGGAACTGGAAACGTGAGGAGCTAAAAAGAGATCAAAGGAACGTAGCTGGATTAAACAAGCCAAAGCACGTTGTTCGTCAGGTTCATCTTACTACAGTTGGAAATCTGACTATGACTACCAAAAATCACTGACCACCGACAATTCTGAGCTTATGATAACTAGACATGGAATTTATGAAAAAAATGATTAGGTAAAATAAAAACTAGAACGAGGGTTAAATATATTTAACCGTCATCGTTAGATAGCCTTATCTCCTTCTCGTATTTATATTATATATTAATAATTCTATTATACAATTTTATTATGTTAATTTTAATGAGGAGACATAACAAATATATGTTGATATTCATATATTATTAATATACGTCACTTATTCTTGGGATCCGTGAACACCTCGCGTGGGGACTTCTTAAAATTCTTAAGAAAAGGGAGTACCAATTCGGTCAGAACGCATTTTGCAACCCAGACAAAACGCATTCTGCATACGGACCCGCAGTCCAGTGACGACACACGACACGGAACGATCCCTGCCAAACGATCTCCCGCCGATTACCGTACTAACAACCGTCCGGCGTTAAAGGGCATCGACCACGGCCGCCTGCAACGTCGAAAATTCTACGCGCCGGGTCCCGCAACCGAGTACAGTAATGTCTCTCTAATTGACGCGCAGATTGTCCACAGAAATGGACAATTTGGCAAGAGGAGATACGATTGTTCGAGCCTCGTGGCTCGTTTTTTTATGGTTATCGATTGTTAGCAACTATAAAAACGAGCTGCAGGTCTCGAATAATCGTGTCTCCTCCTCCCAAATTGTCCATTTTTGTGGACAATCTAAGCGTCAGTTAGGGAGACATTACCGTAGAAGGTTCAGCGAACGCAACGCGCGCGTACACCTTTGGCAACGGGGCTGCAGCGCGCAAATGGCGTATTCATGGTATACTCGGCCGCTAGAAATCCGCGTACACTCCGGGGCCCCCATTCTCCGTGAACCGTGAACGTGTGCGTTCGCGTAACACGTGACCCCTGAACGCTCGCGGGACTTCTAATGCACGCGATCGTGAACAGGCATGCGGCGCGGCGCCATAAAGGCCTAGCCAGTGCCGCGTGCTGCGAGCATGAATATGAATGTGTACACAGATCAGAATGAATGGAACTGGACACAGTCGCGTGAACGGAACGCTGGACGCGGAGCTGGATACGGTGGATGCGTGCTTGCGTGCTTGCGAGCCGAAGCTGCGAGTCGAGGCTGCGAGACGGCCGGCGACGACGACCGAGCCGAATCCCTCGATGAAAACTCGCCGAGACCGGAACGAGTGCTCCGTTGAAAATCCCTAGTCCGTAACCAGTCCAGATTCAATCTACATAATGGAGGAAGCTCGAGACAATGTTTGCACGGAGCCACCCCTCTCCTCGCCGCCCCTGTACCGCTCTTTCTCCATCCTCTCTTCAGCCACACCCGCGCTTCAGCTACCCTTCCACGGCTTCCAACCTTTTCGCCTCCGGTCCGCCGCGGAATGCCAGAGGGATCCGGTAGAACCAAAGAGCTTGTTAATGGGTTCATTTGGATTCGATCATCGCCTTGCCTTTCTTTCATCCACCCCTAGACCCCCGGCACTCCTCCCTCCTCATCCTCCTCATCCTCCTTCTCCTCTCCGTCTATCCTCCTCCTTCCGCCGCTTCTCTTTCTCCGACGCGCGCGAGCCTTTACTCATTTACTCCTCCCAATCTTTGCTTTATCGACTCGCCTCTAACTCTCACTCTTTGTGTCCGACGACCGGTTGCCGGAGGAAAGAGATCCAGACGCAATTGCGATCGCGGCTGCAGCTGATTGCTGGCTGGATCATTGTCGGAGTTTGATGACGGGAGGAAGCGGGAGCAGCCCCGAGTCCTCGGGCACCGCCAGGGGGGTGCGGCAAATTAAGTTGTCGTGTAAACTTCCGGTGCTGCTGGTCTTAATCCCGGGTGTCTTACCTGGTTGTCTTCTTCTGTTGCGAGCTTTCCGCCGCAATTTTCGAGAACCTTTCTACGATCCCCGGCAATATGCATTCGGTCGTCCCACTAGTTCGCGCCGCGAATATGTTTGTACTTTTTGCGAGATGTTTAATTGATTTCGTAAAGGAAATTGCCTGGAAGATCAAGCACGTTCTAGACGTCCAACGGACGAGATCTCTGAAATTTGGATCATCGCGATATTATCTGTCACGCGGCCATTTAAAAAAGAATGCCGCGAACTTACGGGACGACGTATCATTTGGCCATTCGTTTTAATCCGTTTTGAACGGATCTAGGTAAACGGTTAGATGTGTTTTCTTTGAATTGTAGTTAGCAGACTGCGGATTTTATGTATATTGGGTTGGCAACTAAGTAGTTGCCGATTTGTTCAATGAAATAAAAAATTCTTCTTTACTTGCAATGGAGTTTAATCTGTAATGATTTTCCATTTTGTTCGATGACCTTTTGCAAGCTCTCCGACAACTTGAAAATTCCACGCTCGTAGAAAGTCTGATCCTTTTCGGCCAAAAACTGAGTTAAGTGAGATTTTACAGCGTCATCATCGTTAAAAGTTTTACCACGAAGGGAGTTGTCCAGGGATCGAAATAAGTGGTAATCCGATGGCGCGAGATCAGGGCTATATGGCGGGTGTAACATCAATTCCCAACCAATATCCATCAATTTTTGCCGAGTGGACAAAGACGTGTGCGGCCTAGCATTGTTCTGGTAGAAAATGACATCTTTATATTGGTAGCTTTTCCTTGACCGCTGCATTCAATTTGTCCAGTTGCTAACATTCACGGATAATAAAAAATAACATAGTAATAATAATAATAATAATTTTATAATATAACATTTACTTATAGTTGCCAACCCAATATTTACAAATTGGTAGTTGGAACGCGAAACGATGAAAACGAATGCTGTTTCTCTTTCAACTGTTCTCAAATTGTTAGGATGAGAAATGAACGTGTACATGGCTCCTGCATTTCGGATTTATTAGCATAATTATTAGTTTTCAATTTGCAGACAAATCCGTAGTCCGGCAATTAGTCAAGAATGATAATTTCTCTGGAATGTTGGAGACTGTGGAAGTCTGTTTTGCACGTAAATGTGCATGTTTTCTCTCTTTTCTCTTTATGTTTTCTCTCTTTCGAATAGAAAGTAAAAGAAAGAAAGAAATATCGAATCTTGTGCTTCCTCGTCAGCGTGTACGTTTCGGTAACGGTTCGTCCTTGGTAATCGGAGCAGTCGAAGGATAACTGGGGGCGATTCGGCGTGCCGTTGATTTCCGTCGCTGGATTCTTCGTCAATTCGGCGAACGTCTCGAGATGAAAATTACAGAGAATCCGGGTCTGCTTACCTCTTCGAGTGTCGCGAGAAGAATTTCACGAAGTTTAGCGACGGCTACGCGCGGCGTGCACGGTTCAGCGATATTACCATATGAATTCGCAATCCGAGGAACCGGCGCGGCGCGGCGCGGCGCGGGCTCGTCGCGTAATCAAGCCGTGATTTCATTGAGAATCTTAACCACCTACGCCGGTGTCAGCCCTCCACGGGCGCCTGAAATGTAATCAACCGGCGATTTCATGAGAGCCTCGGTCGGTTACGGTGCACCGTGCATTTTCGCGGCGCTGCTCCGCGCGATAATCGTCTCTCGCGGCGAGCCCCTCTCCTCGAGGATGAACCGATGAATAAACGAGAAGAGGAGGAAAGCGGAGAGGAGGTGTTCCAGGTGATCCCGGGAAGAGATCCGCTCGCTTCAGCACGCCCATCTTTTTCCGCTTGCTCGTACCCGTGAGCGGAAAGTCCGAACCGAGAGGCTCTTAATAAGGTCAAGGAAGAGTCTTGGCTGTTACAGTCAGTCGGAATAGAAAGATCAGCGATTCTTGCCAGCCCCGAACACCCCCGGCCCCTCCGTTCCGCCGAACGTCGTTCCCCTACACGGTTCTCCTGTCGCTTCGGAACTCTCCTCGCTGATTAAAAATGTCTTAACGAACGGTGTGTCGTTTATAGGGAACTGCTGAAAGGGAAAACTTCCTTGCGCTTCGACCCTGCGCCCTTGATGAGGCTGCGATTGAAGGGAATGGGTCTTCGATGGCGGCGTTTCGCCAACGCGTCGCAGCGTTGGTCAATTGGTTATACAGGGTGTCGCGTAAGTTCAGGTACGACCGGGAAAGGTGACATTCTATATGCGAAAATAAGTCGAAAGAATATATCGTATTCTTCGATAATTATGATAAAATCCAAGTCACGTTTCTTTTATACAATATTTCTCGTAAAGTGAGATAATAAGAGTGATGGTGAATGTAAGAGAAACCGCTGCTGTAATTCAACAGTGAGATATGTCTAAGTAACGAAGCTTAAAGAAAAAGGCGTTTAAAGTTTTATTTTCACAAAATTTTATACTAATGTCTATTGAACGAAATAAAATAAGATAAATATAAGTAGAAATAAATATAATGGAAAAAGATCCATATAAATATAGATATTTTAATATTTCATATGCTAGTACTGCATTACTCAGATCGTATGAAGTAGTAAAATATTTTCAAATCACGTTTTTCTTTTTTTAATCTCTCGGCATCGAATTAGAACGTTGGAGGAAGCTTACCTTTTTGAAGTAACCGCCATGGAGTCGCATGTGACCGTTCAACGCCGGTATGTTCTTGAACTTTCGATGGCAGAGATTGCACTCGACCGGTTTCGCATCGGGCTGCTGCTTGTTGTTGGCGGTGACAGTGGCAGGAGATGCTGTGTTCCCCGGCGATGGACTGCTCTTCCCAACAGTCCCGCTCCCAGGTGAGTTGGCTTGCGTGTGTTGTTGCTGATGCTGTTGCTGAGACTGTTGCTGCTGCTGCTGTTGCGCCTGTTGCTGTGCCTGCTGCTGTTGTTGCTGGAATTGGAAAATTGTTGCCACCCGAATCAATATAACGGTTCCATTCGAAATTCATTTGATTAATTGTTTCATTCGCGAGAAGATCGTAGATGCAATGAAAAGCGCATTCATAATGTAATCTTTTTCATATTTATCGAGCGGAGGAACAAATCGTGCGTACTTGTCTGCGAAAATCCAGAAATGGATTTCCAGATAATCTAGAAATTTTCGATTCCAGAAATGGAATCGAAATCGAACGAATTTTCAATTAGCCGTCAGTTTCGTAGAACGTTCTATAACGATCCGAATCTACATAAAAGTCCGCGGCTTGATCATCCTTATAGAGGATCCTCATGCCGCGCTGTTGAGTAACATTTCATAGCGGCGCGGCGGCGTTAACGAAGCTCCAACAGACGAGGACACTTCTTTGACACCTTTGTCGGACGATTAACAGAAACATCCGGCGCGCCGAGGACCCTTCGGCCCCGTAACTTTGAAGAATCGAGTGCACTCGAGGACACGATTACCATGAAATAAAATATTCGATGAAAATCTCTTCAATTCATCGTTCTCGCCTCAGCCCGCGATAAAGACGCTTTTATGTTCCGTTCTTTCTGCCTGTTTCTTTCAACGCGTCGAAAAATTATTCATTTTTTGCGTTTAAAGGAAGATCAAGGCAGAGACGACTGGGGAGAAAAAAGGGTAATGTACTGTAGTTGCTTATTGAAGCTCTCTTCTCTTCACGCTTTACCCGGCTTTACTTTCCACATTGAAAAATAAACGTTACTGGAGAAGACAAATGAACGAGCATTGCGAAACTTCCATGAAAAATTCGAAGTAATTCAGTTTTGCATTCACAAATGCAGAAAAGAAACTGCAGATCTAATCGGTTGTAGCATTTTTAATTCTTCAGAGAAGAAGAAGAGTTTCATTAATTTGGGGTTTAGTTCACTTGCAATTTTTATACATGATCGTGCAGCTTCGAAATTTTCTGAAACAATTGTCCAGACCATGTGTTAAGTAGAGATTCGTTGTTCTTTGTATTAATCTTAAGAAATTAAGGAAAATAAAATAGCACCTTTGGACCCTTTTGAGGCACCATTGTTTTATATTTGACGCATACCTGTTCTTTTTATAAATTCATAAAATCTGCAATCTAATAATTCGCATAAGGAACGTTGAAATACAACAGCATCTTCGAAAGCGACATCGTTTTATATAGGCTCGGATGAAGAAGTTGAAAAACGTAAGTTTTGTTATCGCGTTTCGTCATTCCAAGTAATAGAAAATTAAAACGAAGTATTTAAGTATATAAGTCATACATTTTAGAGTAAACTAATCCCTCTAACATCACCAAAAAATTCAAGTCACCTCGTTCTTTGTACGTAGTTGCTCTGTTTTAAAAATCTGTTGTTCTTATAAATGCATAAAATTTGCAACCTAATGATACGCGTGACGAACGTTAAAATACAATAGCATATTCGGGTGCCTCAATTCTTTTTTTATTTTTGAAGCTGCACCATGGAATTACAGTAGTTCTAATTGCCAGATCTAAGAGCCACTAATAAAAATTGCCTCGTAAGAATTACAAGATAGACTTCAGTCAAATTTTTCACAATGTTTAGCGCCTGGCTGAGTAAAGAAATGTGTTCAACAATTTTTAATGGAAGCAGCTTTATGACTTTGATAGTTATTAAATAAAAAATGCGAAATCGATCATTTGGCCGGTGGTGGTAGTTTTAGTATTAATGTACAATAACTTCATACTATATTTGTTGAAAGTATACCGATAGTCTTAAGAAACCGTAATAGTTTATTGCACAAGTTAACGTTGATCAGGATTCCACTGACATTGTTGTCGTTCGAAGACATCCTTCTCTTTGAAACTTTCTTTTAACGTGCAAAAATGCATAAAATGCATAAAATCCACGGTCTAATAACTCGCCCGCCAACTATTAAACTTTGATCAATACTACTTTGATAAACAGATTCTCCTGACTTTGCGGATATCGTCGAGTTATCCGAATCTGAAGAACGCGAAGAAGCAGAAGGTGCGGGAAACCACCGCGGGCAACGAGCGGAATCACTTTCGCCCTGAAAAGGCGACCGCCTCGAGACAATGGCTGCGCGGAAACAGTTGCGCTAAAATCCGACCGCGGGAATGCGTGGAGCAATTCGGGGCCGGTGTTCTTCGCGGCAAGTTCGCCGATGTTGGAACAAGAAAATTGAAATTCTTCGAGCCGTGACGCGGGCGGCGCACGGCGCCGTGCTAGGCCTCGAGGAGTTGCGGGGTCGCGAAACGCGCCCCCGACCGCCCTCCGGTTCGAGAATTTATCGCGCGATGTAATAAAAATTCTAATAAAACCGTTTGCTTCTTTTCTCCGGGCGTTTTCACCGTTTCATTCTCGCGAGATAAAGGGGCCGCGGAGGCTGGCCGGGGTGGGGGGATGATGCGTGATAATAATATGGTTGGCTGGAGTACGCGGAATTCCTTCTGGCCCCGGTTAAGCCCTCTCGAGAGCTGAACCATTCCTCTTCCGGCTGCTTCGAGCAGCACGGAAACTCTGGAACTTCGTAAACGTTAACGTAGAAACGCGGGGGTGGCTGGGCCGAGGCAACGGACAGTGGAATAACTAAGTACAGATCGAGAACGATGCACCTTGTTACGCGGCATAACGTTCCGTAATTTTCATCTGCTCCCGAGGTATGCGGAGGCAAACACCGAGGCCCCGAGGTAAATACTCGCAGTGTACGCGTGTTTTTCCGCTCGTACGCTCGAGCTTCTTCTATTCCGCTCGCATTTCTTCTTTCTTCTTTTTATAATCCGACCGCGGCACAATGATGAGCGCTGCTTCGCGCCGATAACGAGAATTTACGCTCGCCGGAGGAACGAACTTTTACGGCGCGGATTAATTAATTGGTTCGAATGTGCGTAGCTTTCGGGGAATCGAACTATTATAGCGCGCGAGAACGTTCCCGGAGAAAGTTTGACGAAAGTAGTCGAAGCTGTCGATCTCATTTCGGATTCATTGATTTTCTGCCGGTTCAACGAGGTTTCGGGTACAATGATCTTATTTAAGATTATTCGAGCCTTGCGGCTCGTTCTTCGATAGTTACCGATCGTCAACAATTATAAAAAAGAGCCTCGAATGATCGTATCTCCTCTTCCCAAATTGTCCATTATCGTGCAGAATCTGAGTGCGAATTAGGGAGAAATTATTGTAATGAGCGAAACGTTGAGGTTTCGAATAGAATTTTGTTGTGTTTGGTGTTTTATGGGTCTCTTCTTTTGGATCGTTATTTCGCCGGTGCTGAAGAGAAGGAGAGTATAAATAGAAATGATTAACACGTTCCGTGCCACGTGTACCATCCATGGTACACGCTTGCATGTTTACTTAGTGAACTGAACAAATTGTTTACAAGAAATTTAGAACCGAAGAATCAATTTCCACCGCAAAAATGGGCGTTGATAAGTTTTTGTTACGTTGTTATGTGTACGAGAATTAATAATTGCACGTAATACATCAAGTTTTAGTAAAATATCAAAGTGTGAAGATTCGAGTAAAAAAAGCTCGGCACGGAACGTGTTAAAGAACG